AAGTGCCAAAAAGTAATAGTCTTAAAAGTATTTCCAATAAAAAGACAAACACTAGCATAAAGCTAGCTTTCAAATCTGCAATGGAAGGCACGATGTTATCTTTATGAGGGTAGAAATTATTGTTTATTGCCATATTTTTATGTGTATGCATATCAAATATGTGTATGCATACCAAATATAAGTGAATTTCATATAAATTAAAGACCAAGGTGCCATTCTTTTCATTGCCTGTAATTTTAAACTTAGCAATTATTTGAATCCATTATAGCAATAATCCAAAGGAATTGCCACTGCACCCTATTGAGAAGCCTTGGTTTCTGAAGGTCATGATTAATCTGTATTAGGGATACATTCTATTTTGAAAGTAAGGTGCGGCAGCATTGATGGAGCCTTTCCAATGAGGGATATTCTGTACGAATGTACACTTCCGTGAGCAGGGCTTGCTATGTGGAATACAAAGTGACTTGCTAAAGCCCAAAGAAACAACAAAAAAATGTATTTTGCTTCTTCTTAGAACTCTAGCCAGAAAAATGGATCTACAGGATTCATTTGGATACTAAATAGAAATAGGTAAAGAGAAGACTTTAACTGGCTTGTCACTTGTTCTCCTGAGCCTTACTTGGGTGTGTGAAAAAAACAATGTGCCCGACTCTGTTCTGAACAGATGGATGCAGAATCCTGGCCACCAACTGTTCACATCCAGGCTCAAGTGAACTTCCTCCAATGTGGCCGCTTTCCCCAGAGGGGCCCACAGCTGCCCAGAAATGGGCACTCCCTAACAGCAAGCTGGTGATTGCAATTTTACAGCTCTGTTTATGGAAACTGGGTAGAAAATCATTAAGCTACCTCTGTTGTTTCCAATGATTGTAGCCAAAAGTTAAGGTGCCAGCAGCATTCATAATCGCTGGTAGCTGCTCTCTGGATGACATCATTATAAGTTGCAATAGGAAATAATGAGGCACCACAAGTATGCATTGAAAGTGTGCCTTTGAAAACATCTTCCCACCAGACAAGCAACCAAACAAAACTCGTTCGTTTCAGATAGTTCCCATTGATTTTCTTTATGTAATTGTTATTGACTTTAGTCTTCTAATATTATTGTACTTACTCTCTTACTTATGAGGGTACTTAGAAACAAGATTGAAATAAGCGATATTCTCCATTATGCATTCTTTGCAGAGAATGAAACCCATGGATTAAACAAATGCTTTTAAAAAAAAATCAAGGCCAGAACATCTAAATATTGTTCTCTAATACTAAATTGTTCTAGGTGCATGGTAATGGGCACTCAATATATGCTTGTACATTCATCAGTGAATGGTTCACAAATCTTTGAACATCTCCTTCGCTTAAGCCTCAGTTTCTTCACCTATTCCCGGTGCTGGCGGAGTTCCTGGAGCATAGTAGATGCACCATAATCATTTGCTGAATTGAATTTATGCAATTACGTTAGTTCTGGGATTAAGTGTGTAAAGGTGTATATGTCCATGTGTGTGGTCTCTGTTAGTGAAAAGCATATTTCTTTAAAAATTCCTAGCAAATTATTTAAATAATCTAGGCAACTGAATAACCGTCCCATACAGATTGTATGCTCCATTACAATTGGTTATATTTTCCTCTACATTGGCCCAAACTGGCAATTTAGTGTGCCGCCTTCTTGGTATCCACATTTGAAACGGAAATTCTTGCTCCCATGAGCAAAACGACTTTAAAATTCTGCAACTTCTTGTTACTTAAATGTGTCTAGGGAATCCCTAAAGTTGAATAAATGCTTTAGGAAATCTACCCACAGTATCAGGCTGTGGACTTCCAGAAGCCGTAAATCAGTTCTTCTGAAAGGAAGAAAAGTGACAGAGCCCTCTGTACTTTGGAATTAGAAATGGAAACCATGCTTTTGAAGGAACTAAAGGGAGACAGCTGCAGACCAAATGGATTAAGGACTCCAGGGAGCTGTGGAAGACTGGTAAGGAAAATGAGAGAGAAGATTGTCAGAGAAAATACAAAGACTAGGCAGCAGAGGAGAGAATTTTCAAAAAAACGGTTAAAAGGACTGTCGAATTGCCAGGACAGAAACAAGCTGAATTTCCTTTTATGAAATCCCTAGTTATCAACTGACCCTTCCTTCCTGGGTCTTCCAAAAGAGTAACAAAGAGACAGCAAGAGTGAGAGCGAGAGATGATCCTGGTTTTATTTTTTTTTAATTTTTTTTCAACGTTTTTTATTTATTTTTGGGACAGAGAGAGACAGAGCATGAACGGGGGAGGGGCAGAGAGAGAGGGAGACACAGAATGGGAAACAGGCTCCAGGCTCCGAGCCATCAGCCCAGAGCCTGACGCGGGGCTCGAACTCCCGGACCGCGAGATCGTGACCTGGCTGAAGTCGGACGCTTAACCGACTGCGCCACCCAGGCGCCCCTGATCCTGGTTTTAAAGCCTATATTCCAGTTCCATGACTGTTATGGTTTGCCCACCTCTCATTGTGCCAGAATTCCCTCTTCATTTATGAGTTATTTCCTTAATCGTTGGTTACAGAATTTCCTTAGACACAGAGCGTTTCGAGTCACTGGACAAGCGCCTGGCCAGATGTTCCTTTTTCTTCCTCCCAGAACTCTTAGTTGGGAATTGAGGAGGTATCCTGAAAGTCTTTTCCCTCCGCAGTTCAGGGTTCTGGTAGATCTTAATGAGGAATCTTTCCTTTATTTAGGATATTTATATATGCTTTATACATATACATGTTTTTGTTTTGTTTCAGAGAAGGGTAGTAGGTTTTGGGAAGGTTCGTTTACATATTCGTGGCAAGACACAGATTTTACAGCCATCCCTCCCCCCGTCGCTTTTTCAACAGCCCAAGAGAGAGATGGTTCTGGAAGCAGTTGCTATTCCCCTACAGAGTCGGGTTGTCATCTTTTGTTTCTTTGTTGGCAGAGCGGTGGGGTGTGGGTGGGGGTGGGGTGATGAACGGCAGGGATCCAAATGATTCCTGCCCAAAGCTGAAGGCGGTGTTGGAAAAGGGACGGAGGGGGTAAAAAACAGCTCTTGATTCCCAGATTCTTCCCCGAGAGTGTTCAGCTCGGTGCATTTCCTCCCCTCGGTGATGTGCTGGGCTTACAATTCCCCCTTTGCAAATACCTGTATCAAAACCTAGGAAGAAGGGAACACACGGTTCCGAGATCTCCCCCTGGCGTCACCCTATACTACCTCTCTTTCGAAAACCGAATCTGGTCCCCTTGCTCCGGCGCGCAGAGACAGTACAGCCCGGAAGCCATCCTCGCGCAGCTGCCACCACCCAGGGTGGAGAACAGCTGGAAGCTTTGGTGTGCGCCCACCGCGCCGCGAGCAACTCTTCTTGGTAATTAGCACCAGCCAAGGCTCCAAATGTGCCTTATTGCAACCCCTAGCGGGCTCTCAACTCGGCAATAGCTTCTCGCTTTCCTGTCCCTGCTCTTGCGGAGGAAAATTACAAACGTGCGTGCACACAAACACATTCACACACGCCCTTCTTTCTTCACTCAAGAAAACCATCAGTAAACGTCCTTCTCCCAAAGAAGGTTCGACTCTTCTCGCTCTTTTTTCTTTACCTAGCGGTTAGCGGTACCCGCTAACACACGCGGGGCTCTCTTCGCTGCTCTGCGCGCCCCCTACCTGCCTACGCGGGGGTGGCGCCGGGGGGAAGGGGGTCTGGAAGTACGCAAGACTCCTGTTTCTCCAGTTGGTGCAGCTCCCCTGGCTCGGCACTTGGTATCTCCCACGGTCTTGCTCTCGCTGGGAAGCCGGGAAGGAGAAGGCGACTGTGGGCGTCGCCGCCGCCCTTCCCGGAACCGGAGTCAAACTCCAATAGGGCGCCAACGCCTCCCTCTTCAGTCTCACATCTGGCCCAGGCGTGCAGATGTTGGCGGCCAGAGAGTTCCTCCACGCGAGGCACCCCAAGTCCTGAGCATGCCCAGTAGGACTCCTAAGGCTTCCGAAGCGAGTTTCTGGACATGCAGATTCCGCTTTTCCGCTTTTTCTGGGAAGCTGGAAAGGGTGGGAAAGGAGGGATCCAGGGCTTGGGGCAGCGCGCTGGGTTCGCTGGGGTACGTGCCCCAGTGCCCGGCGGGGTGAGGGGCGGAGCTGTTTAGGGAGCCCAGGGACCAGGGCGGCTAGGCTGGGCAGGAGCTGGAACGATGCCCCCCGCCCCCCTCCTCCAGGGGGACTTTGTCAGTGCTGCGCTGACACGCCACCAGGAGGCTGCGGGTGGCCGGCCTTGGCGCGCTGGGGTCACACTGTCAGCTGGTGGCAGTCAGTGGTGCTCTCACAGACGGACGCGAGAGAGCTTGCGGGTCACTTACACACGGCACTCACGGGCTTGGCTTTTCTGGAAGGGCGGGGGAGAGGGGAGAAGGAGAGACCCAAACAATTTCTCTCGCTCGATTTTTCTTTCTTCTTCTTATTTATTTATTTAGCCAAAGTTATACTGGCAAGAGACTTCACATTCTTTCTAAGTCAGTCCTGAGGCTTTACAGAGCACAGCAGTGCTCACGCTCCTTTGTGTGTGTTTGTGTGTGTGTGCGTGATGTGCCCGCGTGTTTGTGTATGTCATGACTAGGAAACACTGTCCCAGGTTGGTCTTGGGGGTGACAAACACTCCTCTGAACCCCATACATCACCTAACCCTCGGGAAAAAATAATAAAAGCTAGTCGTGACAGTCCCCTGGCCAGGAACTCAGGGTGGTACGAAATCTAAATTTTGTCGATCCATATTTCCTTCTTCTGCTCCCATCTCCAGCTTTCTCCTTCCCTGTCTCCATCCTCTAACACCCTGATCTTTCTCATCTTGACTTCCTTTCCTCTGCCCGTTACCTGCTCCCTCAGCCCTCCTCCTGCTCCTCCTCCCTCCCCCCATCTCAGCTGCGGCTAAAACCTGGAGTCTTGGGGAAAAGGGATTAAAAAAAAAAAAAAAAAAAAAAAAAAAACCCTGGGCTGTAGAGCTGTCAAACCGGGCATGCTCAGTAGACAGGGCAGGTTTTTTGGTCTCGAGTAGCGGAGAAACATTTTTTGCACCACCGCTACCAGCCTTAGAGCGCGGCGGCGGCGGCCACGGCAACATCAGCACAGCCATCAGCCGTGCAGACGCCCCGCACCCGGGAGCGCGGCGGGCTCCGGCTTAGCCCGGAGTTCACCTCCGAGTGCCCCGGGGGCTGAGCTCACCCCTTCTGCTTGCACACACACGCACACTCTCTCTTTCACGGACACACACGCGTATACACACACACACTCTCGCGCGCGCGCGCAGACACACACACACACACACACACACACACACACACACACACGACCCCGGGCGCAAGCACCCTCCTGGCAAGGAACGTCCGCTGGCGCGGCAGTAGCCAGGTTCGGTTCCTGCCCCCGGCGGCGGCAGGCTGAGAGCACCGCCGCCGCCAGTCAGAGGAGAGCGATGCGGGGGCCCAAGCGGCAGCTCAAACAGTAATGTGGATTTACAGTCGTTTCCCGCAGGAGCCGGCTGAGACGCCTGAAGTCCCGGGCACCGGCGGCGCCCGGCGGGGCTGAGCACCTGGCGAGGGGGCGGGGGACCGCACCTGGGGACGCCGCCGAAACTTGCGCCTGGACTAGGTAGGTGCGTTTCTCGGGGTCCCCATCTCCTTTCTTCTGGCTCGCGGCCTCCACCCCCAACCTCCCACCCCAAGGACTCGGGCGAACTTCACCCCGAGGCTGCTGGCGACGGATGGCGGCTGCCGGCTGTGAACCGCGGGCTGCGTCCGCTCTGGGAGTCCTGCCCGAGGAAGCAGAACCTTTGCTCCTTCTTCTCTTGGTCTCTGCTGGGCCCGGGGCTCTGGACCACCCGGGGGAGGTGGGAGGTCGGCCTTGTTCGCAGTTCAAGCTTCCAGTGGGCCCTGGGGGCGCCGCCTTCGAGGGCTCGTTGGGCTTTACAGGCGACACTTTTGCCAACCAACTCCTCTGGTTGTGAAAGGCGGGGGCGGGGGGGCCGCCTCGGCTTTCGCGCAGAGCCGGGGCGCTCTAACAAGTGGACCTGGACGCTGGAGAGGGGAGGTTCGGTCCGAGGAGAGACAGGGGTCGCCTCTCCCCGGCATCCCTCCCACCTGGAGCGTCCGCCTGGGGCTCAGTCACTTAGGTCCCGCTACTGCCTTCCCTTCGAGAGAAGATACCTAGGGGCTAGGACGCACTTTAGTACCTGTTTGCTTCTGAATTTCCTTTTGAACCCCACGCGGGGAGCCCAGATTCGGAGGTGGGGGGGGACTCTAGAACCTCCTTCTTACCTACGCCGTCTGGGGCCCCACCCGATTCGTCCTCCCTACACCCCAATCTTTGTCAAAAGAGACAGTCATTACGCAGTAGTCGGTGCTCTGGGAGCCGTCGGTGTTGGCTTTAACCACGCGCTCAGCTGCGCGGGTTTGTGTGTTTTTTTGCATTTCATCCTGAGACGTGGTCCCAGGAATCTAGCAGTGTCCAGTACAACTGCGGAGCGCCAAGTACCCTCTGGGCATGGCTGAGGAAACGTAACCTCACTTTCTCCCACTGCACAACGGGCGGATTAAGAATTCAGTTTTAGGGTGCTTTTCCTAGAGGTGGAGAAGGGAGACTTAGCGCGACTTGGTGAGTGGATGTGTTTACAGTCAGGAGTGCATTTAAACATTTCAGCAAACCCAGTGCATCCAGTTGTTTACAATTGCGGAGACAAACGATCTCACTCCACTAGTAGATGTCTCGACATCTATTTCGCCACCAGGAGAGTAGGGGCGGGGGCGAGGGCTGGTTTGCAGCTCGTGCATGCCGTCGGCAGCTTCGGGTTTAGCAGATCTGCATCACTGCTACTGGCGATATGCTAATATGCGTAGGAAAACTCCACATTTTCCATACGAAGCAGTTAGTTGGTCAGGAGCCGCCTGAACTTTCCCGTTTATTTATTTATTTATTTTCCTGGAATGTTAATCCCGAGGTGTATTTGAAGTGGCCGGAAGAAATGCAAAAAGAAGTTTCTGGTGCTAGTGAAGGGAAATTAGTAGCCATTCGGTTTCAGAAACCAAAAGGAAACGAAATACCCCAGTGGACTCTAATAGGTACTGTTTGATTAACATTTAATTGATCGCGTTTGTGGTAAGTAAGGGTCACAGACAGATTCCTTGAATTTTAGATGGTTGCTCAATGATTATAACTAACAAACCAGGTACACTATACTGTGAGAATCAGTCGCAACTCTTAACCTGTTTGGGAAGACATAGCAAATGTCTGCTTTATTATTATCTTTTGGCTGAATATCCTGGCTGAATATCCTGATTCATTTTCCTAGTCCGAAGACATTGGACTTGGAGCGTAGGGTACTTAGGTGCTGCCAAGAAAGAGTACAGTCTAAGAAGAAAAGGATTTTTTCTATTAAAAGGAGATCCATAGCTTTACCTTATGCTCCATGATTACCCAGCATTTGTTCGTTTGCTCACCCCCCTCATTGCTCTTTCTATCTGCAGTGTGGAGGAAAATGAATTTTTATAAGACACAGTATGACCCTTACGGTAAATAAATGGAAAAGCAGAATCCTAGTTTTGCCATTTTGGTCGAAGTTTATAATACTTTTTTGGGTGATATCTTAACTAATTTACTAT